GCACCCATGTAAAGGCCAGCCATGCCTCTGCACGCCTGCAATTCCAATGCTGAGAAAAAAAAGACAGGGTTCCCAGAGCCCCTGGCTAGCCCATCTAGCCAATCAGTGAGCCCCAGTGTCAGTAAGAGAGCCTGTTTCAAAAGATAAGGTAGAGGACCGGTGAGATGGTTCAGTGTGGCATGCGCTTGTCGCACAAGCCTGATGACCTGAGTTTTGATCCTGGAACCCCACATGACAATGAGAAGAGAGAACAGAGTCCCTTACGTTGTCTTCTTATCTCTACACTCATGTCAGGGCATGTGTGAGCTCATGACCCCCTCCCCATACACATGCACGTTAGTAAAGTAGAGAGAAATAGAGAAAGACCCTGATGTCAATTTCTTGCCTCCACGCTCACATCCATACAGAAACACATACACAGTACATATAGTTACAGTGTACACACACACACACACACACACACACACACACACACACACACACACACAAAGAATATAAAAGGAAAGCAACAGAATCAAGTACCCCCTCCCTACTGTTTCCAACAATTATTTTCTCTTGCAAGAAGCCATTTGGCATGGTAAACATGTATTAATTATGGATATCCAACTTTCTAATTCTGTTTTATCATCAAAACACAGACTAATGATTATGGGGGAGAAAGAAAGAAACAATTTGATCAGAACGAAAAGAAACTCTTAGCCACATTGGGAACTGTTGTGCCTGGCAGTGGTTCATTACAGCCTGTCTTTTCATTACTGTGTAAGACTCATAAATAAGTCAGGGGGTGGGAGAACATGGAAAAATGAGACACTCACCAATTATATCCACCACAACACTATATAAATGGAGGCAGTCTATTGATATTTTAATAGGTCTTCTCCCAAACTATATTAGAAACAGGAATCTCAATTACAACTAATCATCTATTTGCAGACAGAGGCATTCTTCATCGTGACTTACAGGAGGATGCACCTCCATTTCACACCGTGCTTCAAGCCATCATTGTGGGTCAGGCCCTTAGCAGCCCTTGGATTTCTCCAGACAAAGTGTGAGTAACAGGGGTTTATCCAGAGCGGGAAAACTGCAAAATCTGGAAGTGATGTACATGGATCTTTTGCTTTTTATTTACTCCTTTTTGGTCTTGATTGTCAGGAAAGATCCCTTAGGCACTGGTACAGTTTCACCAGACGGAAGATTGGTGGCCATATTCTTACACGGAGGATATATTTCAACTCCTAGATAAACAACGATACTGCTTCACTTCAGTTTCTCCATGTGCTTCATGAAATACATGTTGTGAGCCGAGTGTACATGAATCAGAGTTACAAACAAAAGTATTTATGGTACCAGGAAAAATGACATTTGAAATGAACAATGTAAACATATTAATGTTGGCTGTAGCAGGGAAAGTTAAAAAGGAAGAGGGTGTGATAAGATAAAATATATAGGAAGTGTGACTGCTGAGGACGAACGTGGGGGCAATTGTAATAAAGAATACAGGATGGCCCCATTCCCCTGGATCTGGGAGAGGGATCTAAACAAAGCAAGTGAAGGACTAGAAAGCTTCTAGATCAAGTGACGTCATATTCATATGAAGAGCCATGAATATGATGCAAATGGGGGATCTCTCAGCTCCAAGCATGTCTCTATCCTGTGTATGGTACTCAGAGACTATTTCTTAATTTGCCAATTAAATAAATGCATCTTCCTCACAGGATCACTATGAAGATGGAGAGATATGTCATAGAAAGGTATTTACTAAGAGACTCAGGAGATGTCCCAGGTAGTGAAGTTCTTAGTCTACATGAGGACCTGAGGCTCTAACACTGGCTTCAGAAGCCAGGTGTTATGGTGCATGCTTGGAGTCCTGTGCTGTACAGCTGGAGACTGGCAGATCTAGAGTTATCTAAACAGGTTGCTTAACCTACATAGTGAGCCCCAAATCCCAGTCAAAGACCCTGTCTGGGAAGAAAGAAAGAAGGAAGGAAGGAAGGAAGGAAGGAAGGAAGGAAGGAAGGAAGGAAGGAAGGAAGGAAGGAAGGAAGGAAGGAAGGAAGGAAACAATACTTGTGGATAGCTCCCTAGGAACAACACCGAAGACTGAACTCTGCCTTGCACATTCACATGTATGTGCACATACAAACACACATACATACACACATACACACACACATACACACACATCTACTGTGCCCTTTGTCAACAATAAGGTGTTAATAAATGGCATTTGTCTTGGCCGCCTGCTATGCCCAGCATTTATTTCAGATAATAATTTTTTTTCTTGATTATAAAAGTTACACAGTAGCATCATGGAAAGCATTTCTCTTTTGTTCCCTATGTCGTAAAATATGCTTTCTACCTGTGACTAGTGAATTCTCTACACAAAAAAGACCCTCAGCTCTCCTGCTCTTTTCCTGGCAGCCACAGTCCACACCTCCTGGGGCACTTTTGAAAGAATGCTGGAGCCCCTGATTAATTTATCTGTGAGACTGTACTTGAAGATTTCTGAGAACTACACAAAGCTTTCTAATGCGAAGCTGAGTTTGAGCCCAGGGCTTCATTGTATGTGTGGGTGGAGCTGGGCTGGTGAGCAGAGGTGAGCTGAGTCACCCTTGAGTCTAATTTCCTGGTGAGCATGGATTCTTTAACTTTAATGACTATTTTTAAAGAATGTCCTTACAAACAAAAACATTCTCTATTCTGCCAGGAAGGTGGAATGGTATTTTGTACTTGGTATCTTTAAAAGCGGTATCAAACCAGCTAGATAAATATAAATACATTCCATTTTCTCATTTGGTTCCTCTATTCTCATTAGCACCTGCCAGTCAGTGTGTTCTATATTTTATTCTCCTTGGTGGAGAAGATAGAGTGCCCATTAAATGACATATGCCCATCAAGAGGATAGCCAAGATGGCGTACAGGCTATCTGCATCCTTGCCTTTATCCTCCAAGGGTGCAACAGCCCTGCTTCTGGTCTTGTATCCATCCCTGTGTTGGGATTTTTTTTAACTCAGACATCAGTCCGCCTTACACACCCATAGTTAATTGTTCACTCCATAATTCTGGAAAGGCAACACGTTATCTCTTACTATTTAACTGCAAAGGTTTCATATTTTGTTAAAGATGCTTCCTCAACACACTTTGAATCAAGTTCTCCCCAAGAACTTAAAAGGAGACATGACTGAAATTAGGCCCAGCCTCGGTCTACCTAGAAGTTATTCTGTGTTCTTCCAGTCCTCTAACTCTTCTAAGACTCCGTTCACCAAGGGGTAGGATAAAGCCACGCACCCACTTTCCTTCTGGTTAAGAAATGGCACCATTTCTTCCCATCTCTGTGGGGCTTCTCAGCAGCAGTTGGTTCAAAAAACGCCAATCCGTCCACCAGTTGTGTTGACGTTCATCAATTATGCCAGTGCCAAACAAAAACAATAAAAATAGGGAGCCGTGAAAACAAGCTGTATGAATTGCTATTATATCAAAATAGCTATATTGATTTCGACTCCGTGTTACAAAGAAGAGTGGAAAAGTGTTTTCCAAACAGTGGATGAGAGGAGGAAGCAAGAGATCACTTCCTGAATGTTTTGGTTTTTTTCTTTTATTGTTTGCCTTGGAACATACCAATTTAGAACTGATGGTTGGCTCTTACCCTCCTCTCAATGCAGTTTAAATAAAAATTAAGAACCAATTTAACCAGGTAGGGTAGGTCTGTTGGCCGGTTACTGTGGCAACAGGCATCCTCAAGACACACAGTCACTAATAAGTTAACTGGATGCTCCTTGTCCCAACCATCCACATAAGCCATCTCACTAAACTGCTGCGAGTGACTGGCAACTTTGGGGGGGGGGCAGGGTGTGTGTGTGTGTGTGTGTGTGTGTGTGTGTGTGTGTGTGTGCGTGCCCGCCCGTGGGTCCGCCAGGGAAGCCGATAATCCAATTTAGACGTGCAGCCCTCTCATTTCAGTTTCATCGGCGTGCTCATTTCGAACTAAAGGGATCTGAGCAGTAATTCTATAAACAACCAGCATTTAGAAATCAGACGCAACAAGATCCCCCGGAGGTATAATTGCTTAAACCAGGCAACCTGAAATGGTGTCAGTCTCCTATGGCAGCAAGAAAAAGGGGAAGAAATCTCACCTGGGAGATGAGGAGCTGGCCAAAGCCTCCAGCCAGCTGAGCTTTGCTAAGGCGGCCCCAGCACCCAAGAAACAGAAGGCCATCCGGTAAGATCCAATGAGGATTTTTCGAAGCACTTAACTGTCGCACTAGAGACCAATGCATTTTACATGGACTAAATTTTTTTTAAATTCAAACCACAGATTTTAGTGTCAAGAGGACCATTACATAAATAAGTTAAGGAAGACCAACCTGATTCAAATCACTGGTCTGCCATCTCACCATCAGGAACGGAGATGACGTAACCCAGCTGATCCTACCTACATCGTCTCGAAAACGTTAGGAGTAGTTGTATCTCCTTTTGAAGCACTGGGTAGAGCCTACCATGTATTTACCATGGCTCTCAGTGAATACCGGCCCTCAGCATTATGTTCATCTTTTGAATAATAAAAAGAATTCTATTGGCTGCAACATTAGGAACTGGCTTTGTTTCCAAAAGAAAACTGCTCTAATAAGAAAAGGAAAAAAAAAAAGTCAATCTTGATTATTTTGGAAAAAAAAAGGGGGGGAGGAGGCTACTGACAATCAGTAACATTGAAAGACTTAAATACCCAACAGAGGTATTTTAAAAGGTTTTTATTAAAAACCCAATCACACTACTGAGGCCTTTGGCACCGCCCTTCACGGTCAAGGCACCAGAGCCCTCCTCCTGACACAGAAGCTGTGGTGGTTTGAATAGGAACGGCCTCCATAGATCCATGTGTGTGAATGCTTGGCCCACAGGGAGTGGCACTCTTAGGAGGTGTGGCCTTGTTGGAGTGGGTGTGGCCCTGTTGGTGGAAGTATGTCACAGTGGGGCAGGATTTGAGGTCTCAGATGCTCAAGCTAGATCTGGTGTGACACTCATTTCTGTTGCCTGCCTCTCAGCTCCTTCTCCGGCGCCACGTTGGCCTGCACACCGCCATACTTCCCACCAGGACGATAATGGACGAAACCTCTGAAACTGTAAGCCAGTCCCAATTAAATGTTTTCCTTTATGAGAGTTGCCATGGTGATGTTGTCTCTTCACAGCAACAGAAACCCTAGCTAAGACAGCAGCTCTCATATTCCTTCCTCCTCCTCCAGGTTACCCTTCTTGTTCTTGGCTTCCAGAAAACATATTCTCCCAGTGTCCTTCTGGCCACTAGTCAAGTCTTAGCTGGTTTTTCACCTTCTCCCTAAACTTAATAATTTGATGTGCCCTAAGGCGCAGTCCTCTGGCTTTTTTCTCACTTTAGTCTCATATCCTTGGGGATGTTAGTGGGGCTTATAAATTTAAATAGCTGGCGTAACTAAGCTGGCATCTTTCCTGTTCAGAGCTCTACCCTTGGCTTCTATGAACAGCAAGAGCAACTTCATGCTTCTACTGTGACATCTAAAAGGACATGTCGGGCTGGAGAGATGGCTCAGTGGTTAAGAGCACTCACTCCTGCAGAGGGCCAGGGTTTGGTTTCCTGCATCCATATGGTGGCTCACAACCCTCTGTATCTCCAGTTCCAGGGGATCTGACACCCTCTTGTGACCTACATGGACACCAAGCGCAAACACAGTACACATATGTGCATACAGGCAAAAACTCATAGGCATAAAATAAAAGAAGTTTTAAAAAAGAAAATGTAAAGGGCATGTTAGAGTCTGCATGCTTAAGCAAAACAGAATGCCAGTGTGTCCTGGAAATTGGTTCTAAGCCATTTCCACCACAGCTCATGGAAATTCCAGCCTTACTTTACACTACAGGACGTTCTTAGTGCCTCTTTCTTTCACATTCCACATTCATCTTTTCAAGATTTCTGCTGACCCGACATTCAGAATGCATCCAGAATCTGGTCACTGCTTCCTGCTCCCACGGCGGGCACTTGCTGTGAGTCCCAGACCTCCTGTCAAGATCCCGCATTAACCTTCTGCTAGGTGTTTCAATATTTTCCCTTTTCCCTTTATACTCGGTTTCCATCAGAACCACTAGAGAGAGCCTCTTAAAATGCACCAGGCGATAAGATCTACCAGATACGACCCCCATGATTTTCTGGCTCTCTCCCTAATTCAATTTGCTCTAGAAACTCAGCAAACGTAGGCTGGATAGGCCTTTACCAGCCCCTGTGAGATACTGTTAGGACATGCTGGCCAATTTGGCTGTGTTTGTGCACCTGGAGCCTCAGGCCAGACCAGATAGCTTATGCTTTCAATGTGATTTATAGTGAATGCCTGCTGTTGCTGTCCTGAGCCCTGGCCCATACTACATCAGTTTGACCTCAGGGGGTCAGGGCTACGGACCTAATGTCAGTCATCCATGTGCCCCACACCTAGATGCTGGTCCCCCGCCCCCCCCAAAAAAAACTGGATATGAAGGCATGGTGGATTTTCTTGGTTGGGAATACTGCATGCACATTATTATGTTTCCCTTTTGGGAAACAAGACTTCCTTCCATGACTCCACTGACAGACAACCATGGGGAGCTTGGCCTGATCTCCCCTGATCCTGGTTACTTTTAATCTTCATTTTTTTTTCATTACAACAACCATACATTTGAGCAGAATATGTTTTCTCAGCTCCACGAATCTTTCTACTAAATCACCAAACCCCAGGGCAGCCCGAGGGACCACAGACACACCCAGAATTTAGCACAGTGTCCGGCACATAATAAGCTGGCAATTAAAGTTGAATTGAGAATGGAGGGCGGAATGAATATGGCAAATTACTGCCACGGTGATGCCATCTAAATATTTCCCTCTCCTCTTCCCGTCTCACTCTGCCTCTTCCCAGATTCATTCCCTTTTTCATCCATTCTAATTTCAAACATCAGTCCTGACCACTTGCCTAGTAAAACGGCAGCCCTTAAAACTGTCACTAAATCCAGTTACGGCTGATGGAGAGGTAAGATTTAGAGATCAACATCATTTGGGTAAAAGAGGCTTTGCCTCCGCAGGTCATCTTCTGAGCCAAATAATTTGTTTTGCTACGGGACTCCTGCCCTTCAACCTGGCTTGAACCCAACTTTGGCATGCAGGCACCAAAATTGGGCTCGGGCCGCTCCTGGATGCTCCTCACTGAATTGGTAACAAGGTAAATGTATTTGCTTGGGATTTGACAGCCGGTGACAGACAGGACAGGGAAGTGGCCAGGGCCCTAGTTTGGCTACACAGAGCTGATGTATAACGGCATGCGCGTGTGTGAGATTTAACGATGGTTGGTAACACCCAAGGCATTGAGGTTTCCTCTAGCCCGCCGCACTGACATCTATCATTTTAATAGCCTCCGAGGAAGAAAAACGGTTTTCTCATTAATACCCTGGATTTGACCTTCCACTTGTCTTGATTTGAAGCTCCATCATAGCCGGGAATGCAGCCGTGCCCATTAGAGGAGTGGAGTGGCCCCTTTCTAGGGATCTATTTTTCCCATGGAGTCAGAATGGGAGAAAGCCAGGGCTGAGGTGGACAGGGTTATAGGAAAAGAACCCTGTTTGAGGTGCTCAAATAAAGGAGACTATGAGATACCTTTCCAACCAGAAACCAAGGTAACTTTCCTTTAATATCACTTGTCTATGGAGAAACACACACAAACACATGCACCATATATATATAAAATAAAAATTCACCTGATTTAAGAAGTTTATTGATAATATTATTTATCTGGCAATCTGATTAAAGATTGGATAGATTTCCTTTGTTTCTTGCAACCAGAGAATTTTAAGTAATGGACATGTTATACTATTGTGTTAAAGAAGGACCCAGTCTGTACTATATTGGAGGATGTTTCCTTGGTTGTTGGTTGGTTGGTTGGTTGTTGGTTGGTTGGTTGGTTGGTTGGTTTTTTTGTTTTTTTGAGACACGGTTTCTCTGTGTAGCCCTGGCTGTCCTGGAACTCACTCTGTAGACCAGACTGACCTAGAACCAGAGGGTATTTTTATAGGGTTCCACAAATAATCCTAAACCACTCCCCCACCCCATGTAACAGCAATGACCACAGTGAAATAATCCCCACGGTGGCATTTGCCTTCCTACTGTATGTGCTCAGAAGTAGGACAATGGACTTGTTAAGCGGTACAAAGGAAGGAGGGATTTCATCCGCTTAAGCATGGAGGGTTGGACACTCTGAAGCACCCCTAAAACAGTTATCCTTGGCATGGGGGGATTAATGAGAAAATATTTGTTTTTTATGTGAAGCTAAGCCGCCATATAAAATCTGTAATTCTGATTGTACACGTTAAAAAAATGGACTATAAAGCCAGTTTGATGCTGCTTAGGATCAATTTAGTTAAGCAAATACCTAGCACATCCCTAGACTTGCTCAATGCCTACATAATTCTTTCCCCCAAAGGGGGAACATCACACATTTATTAAACATTTGTTGTGAAATAATCTTTTTGTACACTGTGAAGATATGTCTTTGCCAAGGCACCTTCTGATTGGTTTAATAAAGAGCTGAATGGCCAATAGCTAGGCAGGAAGAGGTTAGGTGGGGCTTCTGGGCAGAGAGAGAGGAAGAAGAGATGAATTGAAGAATAGAAGAGACACCAGAGGACACAAAGAGGAAACAGGAAGTACAAAATGAAAGAGAGGTAAAAAGCCATGAGGCAAAATGTAGATTGATATAAATGGGTTTAATTAAGTTGTAAGAGCTAGTGGGCAAGCCTAAGCTATTGGCCCAGCTTTCATAATTAATAGTAACTATCTGTGTCCCTTTTTTTGAGCTGGTAACCCAAAGAAAAATCTGTCTATAAACATTTATTTTAGGTACATTAGACTGTGACATCCCATGAACCATAAGTTCTCTACTCTAGGGAGTTTCCATTCTACCTAAAACGTGAACAAATCCATGAAAAACTAAGCTTAAAACACAAAGTAGCAATAAGAGGCAAGAGCTTACCTAAGAATAAGTCTGAACATTGTCTGTGTTTCATCACAGAACTAAATAGACCGTTAAAATAGGTCTATGAGAAGACAGAATTCATACTGTATCTGTGCTATAACATAGCCATGGTGTGTGTGTGTGTGTGTGTGTGTGTGTGCATGTGTGTGTGTGCATGTGTGTGTGATATAACATAGTCATGGTGTGTATGTATGTATGTGTGTATTATACCATAGCCATGGTGTGTGTGTGTGTGTGTGTGCATGTGTGTGTGATATAACATAGCCATGGTATGTGTGTGTGTGTGTATGTGTGTATTATACCACAGCCATGGTGTTTGTGTGTGTGTTATAATATAGCCACAGTGTGTGTGTGTATGTGTGTGTGTTATAACATAGCCATGGTGTGTGTGTGTGCATGTGTGTGTGTTATAACATAACCATGGTGTGTGTGTGAGTGTGTGTGTGTGAGTGTGTGTGTGTGAGTGTGTGTGAGTGTGTGTGTGTTATAACATAACCATGGTGTGTGTGTGAGTGTGTGTGTGAGTGTGTGTGTGAGTGTGTGTGTGAGTGTGTGTGTTATAATATAGCCATGGTGTGTGTGCATGCGTGCGTGCGTGCATGCGCACGCGCGTGTGTGTGTGTGTGTGTGTGTTATAATATAGCCATGGTGTGTGTGTGTGTGTTATAACATAGCCACAGTGTGTGTGTGTGTATGTGTGTGTGTTACATCATAGCCATGGTGTGTGTGAGTGTGAGTGTGTGTGTGAGTGTGTGTGAGTGTGTGTGTATGTGTGTGAGTGTGTGTGTGTGAGTGTGTGTGTGTGTGAGTGTGTGTGTGAGTGTGTGTGTGAGTGTGTGTGTGTATGTGTGTGAGTATGTGTGTGTGTGTGTGAGTGTGTGAGTGTATGTGTGAGTGTGTGAGTGTGTGTGTGTGTGTGTGTGTTCTAACGGCCATGGGGTTGTTACTGTGGCTGGAAAGATGACAACATCTAACCACCTGCTCTTCCAGAGAACCTGAGATTATTGGCTCCCAGCACCCACGTCAGGCCGCTCACACCTGCCTGTAACTCCAGCTGCAGGGATTCAATGTCCTCCTCTGGCCTCCATAGACACACACACACACACACACACACACACACACACACACACACACACACATCTTAAAAATAGAGCCATCTAGAGACTGCCAAGATGGCCCAACAAGTAAAGAGACTTGTCATCCAAGTCTGGTGACCTGAGTTTGATCTCCAGAACACCACATAACAGGTTGAAAGAGGAAACTCACCCCTCACAGTAGTTCTCTGGACTTCACGTGTGTGCAAGAGCACATATACCCAGACACACAACACACACACACACACACACACACACACACACACACACACACA